TGTTCTTCAAATTGACCCCAATTCAAATGTCACCTATTTGAAGCCAGAAAATTATTTGCTACCCCACCATTATGTATTCTTTGTATATAAATGCTGTAATTAACTGCATTTACATCTCACTTTTCAATGGAGCTATTTAAAGGCACAGCCCCAGTAATTAAAAAAATAATAATGACATAACATTGGAAACATTTATAGAAAGAAGATTCAATATACTTAGTAAGAAATAAAATAACCAAAGGACTGAAAAATGAGGAAAAGTGAGTTATGATTTTAACTGACTAATCCTCAAGGCTCAATGAAATCTTATTTTAAATTTTTATTTTTATTGATTTTAGAGAATGGAAGGGGGTGGGGAGAGAGGAAGAGAGAGAAACATTAATTTGTTGTTCCACTTATGTAGGCATTCATTGGCTGCTTCTTTTATGTGCACTAACTGGGGATCTAACCCATAACCTTGGCGCTGGTGACAACGCTCTAACCAACTGAACTACCCAGCAGGGCTGAAATCTACTTCTGTCTATGCAGAACAGCTAAAAGCAAACACTTAAAGAATTTAATTTTAAGCTGGCCAGGATGCAATTTCTAGCTGAAACCTGGTTTTAAAAACAAACTACCTGTCAACCTTTACAACTACAGGTGAAAATAGAATGACTATCTACTGATGAGAGACACTGGCCTAATATTTTAGCTCTCATCGGATTTAAAGGTTTAAAACAGTAGTCAACCAAAGGAAACATATGCTAAGACTAAGTGTCCATCACTAAAAAAAATTAAAAATGAATGAGAATGCCCTGGCAGGTGTTGCTCAGTTGGTTGGAGCATCATCCCGTAGTCTTGAAGGTGCGAGTTCAATTCCCGGTTACATCGATGTTCCTCTCTCCCTCTCCCCATCTCTCAAATCAATTAAGAATGAAAATAAGTACTGGCCCTAGCTGGTGTGCCTCAGTTGATTGGGCATCATCCCATGCACCAAGAAGTGCAGGGCTCCATTCCCATTCAGGGCACATGCCTGGGTTTCCAGCTCCATCCCCAGTAGGACAGGACGCAGCTGAATGTTTCTTCCACATGATGTTTCTCTCACTTTCTCCCCTCCCTCTCCCTCACTAAAACCAATTTTAAAATATTTTTTAAAGACAGTTAAGTACTGTAGTAGGATTTGGTTTATTCTACTTCTTTGAAGCTACATCTAGCATACCTTAATCATTACAAAGAAAGAAGTTTAAAAAAAACACCACCAACCACCTGTACTCATGCTGCTTCACTTCTAGATTATGGAAATGAGCCACAGAAAAACACTTATTCTTTCTGAATGCAAAACTTGTAAAATAAAAATGTCATTATTATAATTAACAATGGAAATATGAATTAAACTCAGTACAATCTTGTTCTTAAAGACATCTGAATGGGGGGGCCGGGGGAGAGGTTAAGGGAGGATGACTGGGGGAAAAAGGGGACATCTAATACTTTCAACAATAAAGATAATTTTTTTAAAAAGAAAGAAATTTGAATAAAATTTCACATTACAAATTTTGTTTGCTCATGTTATACAAAAGTGGCTGGGAACTATGTTTTTCTTCACAAATTCTTAAAAGAATACCACCTCTAGGATGTATTAATGATACTTCACAAGAAAAGCAATTAGCAGAGGATCAAAACAAGCATCCTGTTCTTAAATGCAGCATCTGTGAAAAGAAAAAACATCAAGACAGCTCATTTCTAATAAGTTAATAAAGAAATCAGACTGGTTACTTTTTTTCACAACTTCATATACCTGTTTATTAATAAAAACATTAACTTAATAAAGGTATATGGCAGAGGCCAAGTTGATATTAAATGAGTGTACAGAAGGAAGGCAAAGGAAAAAGGTAGGGAAACACACTCATCACCCCCCTTTCTACAGAATAATTTAAGAATAAACTTTGAGTTCCCATAATCCTTTTTATGTACCTCAATTTGAACTTTTTACATTAAACTAATTGTTTAACTCCATCTCTCCAACACAAATTACAAGTGTCATTTTTTCTATTCTTAAAAAAATATATATATGTGCTTAAATACCTTTCTGTTTTTAGATTCAGAATTGACAATGAACAAATTCTTGGTTAATAAGTAGCTCAGGCAGGGATTTTAACTTTATTGAAAAACATCCTGTCACTTTAAAAGTTAAATACCTACGTGATTTTCTCTGAAATAATCCTGGAATGTTCCTAACTCAAATTTTGGTTGCCAATGTAAGTTTTTACAAGGCATTAGCACCAGAAGCTGCTGCTACTTACCTAACCTACATTTCTTGTCCCCTTTGTATCTTGACATCTAAAAAAGACCATATGGCTCTAATATAAAAATGTTGAGTGCTTTCCAAACAAACGTAATTATATGTAAGTTTCATATATAATAACTTTACTAACAAAATCATTATACCATGGAAATTGCAACCAATAATAAAGGTGCCAAGTAAACTACTTTTATGTAGTTATCATGGAATAAGCAAGACATAGTTCTACCAACCCATCACAAAACAGCAAAACTTCAGGTGACTGATTACTCAGTATAAATACTGTGTAGACTCAGGAATGTTAAAGATAACGAAGAATAAGGTTAGAGGAAAGAAAAATCAGGTATTTTGCTTCTCAACCTCTCCACATCTCCACGCTCCCACACATCCCTATGGCTTCCCATATGTTAAAAATTAAAATGCTGTTAAGTTTATCCTTCTCTTTCTGACCCAATCTGTCAGCACTAGGAATTATAAAATGTCCACAAAGTAAACGTAAGAAATAGAGCAGTTAAGGAGGTAAAGTTTTCCAAGAAGATACATGAATTTAAATCCTCTGAATTAACAGAGCTGGTGAAGATAATATATGGTCCTTTCCCCACCCCCACTTTAAAAGACACCAATATATAAGAATAAATCAAGAACGGTAAAAACAAAATCACAAACAAAAACGGTAAGATGATGCAGAATGAAACTTCACAATTTACAATATCAAAGTATAATACGATTTACAATATCAAAAGTGTAATACGTCCTGAGGTCTGAGGTTCAAGAACCTCTGGAAGCAGCCTCTTGGTACTCTTCTCCCTCAATAAAAGTTTTGTTTAACCGCAAAAAAACAAAAAACAAAAAAAAAAAAACACTATTCCCCAAATCGTTTGTCTATATATAATTTTCCTCTCCCTCTAACAGTCCAAGTTAACCTCACGTATTAAAGTTTCTGTACCAGCAAAGACAAATGCTAATAAAACGTGGACTTCTGAGGTCCGTTTACAAACCTGACCTTAGACTGTTAGATCCCACTAGCTTGGCCCCAAACAATGACTCGGTCCTGTTAAAAGGCAATATACCCAATAAAGCAATCCTGAGAAACACTACTATAGCATGACACATGGGGATTGCCAAAGAACAACTTACCGTAAGTAACAAACGAGCGGCTCTGGCGGCGCAGAGAAGTTACTCATCCCGCAGACCTAGGAAGGACGCTAAAGGGAAACTCTAGTGACACACCCAGGGCCGAGCGCCACGTTAAGGATACAACTCTTGCGAGGTGGAGAGGGCTCCCGCCAGCTCTGGCTGCCGTTGAATCCGGACCCCGGTCCTCCACCCAGCGGGGGTCTGCCCCCCGGCTTGCCTCCTCGGTCACCCCCGCCACGACCCCGACTCCAGCGACTCCCACCCCGATAAGGCCGGCCTCGAAAGCGGAAACGGTCCAAAGCGATGTGGCTCCGTTCCCAGAAGGACGGCCGAGGGCTGCTCTCGGACAGCGAGCTCGAAGGCATCCGCACGGAGGGCTGGTGAGAGCGGAACGGCTCTTTGGGTCGGTAGCTGCTGTGTCCCCGGAGGTGGCCCCGCTCCGACGGGTGCCGCGAGCGTGAGAAATTCCTCAGCTGCTGCTGCTGCTGCGAAGAGGACGATGACGACGAGGAGCCACCGCCTCCGCCGGATCCACCGCCCCGGGCCGGGTGAGGAGGCCTCCGCCGCGGATACGGCAACAGCCCGCAGCCACTGCTACTGCTGCTGCTCCGGCTCCGTACCTGGCTGTTATCGTCGTCGCTGATCTCCCCATCTTCTAGCTCCCCTTCTTCCTTGGGCGACAGGCCACTGGACGCTGCGGCCGGAGGATCTGCGGTCGCCATCCCGGGAGCAGCGCCTTCCACACAACCGGAGTCCTCGGTCCGGGGAACCGCCCGACAATTACCTTCCTCCTCGGTCCCTTCTTTCCTAACGGACCCGGTCAGTGCGGTCTTACCCTATTCGGACACCTAGCGGGCTGTGCTCCCCAACTTCCCGGCACCCCAGCTCTCTCTCTTGCCGGACCGTCACAACCCAGTTCCCTACCCTAGCGCCCCCTTGCTCCTCCGCGAATGGAGCTCTTCCGCCTCGCGAGAAAGGGGCTCGGAAAGTGGCCCACGACGTCACTTCCGACGGAAGGCCGGAAACCAGGCTCTCAGTTCCCGCGATAACGATGAAGACCACGCGATTCTCAGTGGGACTTGTAGTTTTTCCTTTCCTGTTTTAGGGACTGTCCTTCCAGTCTACAACTCACACCCACCTCGGACTGGATTGGGATATCTGGGTGCGTGTTGGAATGGGCGGGTCTGTTCTTAATCTCGGCCTCGAGAGTGTATCATAGAAGTAGGGGGCGGGGAGGTGTATGGTATCTCTTTCTTTTCTTTTTTTTTTTTTTTTTTTTTTTTTTGCTCCAAGGACAGGTCCTAAAGAGACGCAGTAGTCCCTCTCCCCTTTGGGGGCCAGGGAGGGGACCGGGTTGTGTCCGCCATGTTGGTGAAGGCAAAGGAAGGCTGGCGCTGCGGGACTGACGGCTCTGCGGGCTCAAGTCGGCCATATTCATAAAGAGGGAAGGTGGATCCCTACCCCCGACGCACACACATCCGCACCCCTGCTGCCCACCCCGCCCCGCGACTCTGCTCGGTGGGCCTTTCCCCTGCCTCGCTGGCCCCGCGTAGCCGTCAGCGCCTCAGGACGGGCTCACGACGGCGCCGAATGAGGGGGGAAGGGACATGCCGACCAATTGCGCCGCGGCGGGCTGTGCCACTACCTACAACAAGCACATTAACATCAGCTTCCACAGGTAACCTGGGCGGGGAGCGGGGGTGAGAGCCGTTAGATTGAATATTGCTTGTGTCGAAGGAACACGAGGATTCTGCGAATTCTGATCCCTTCACTACCTAGTCCTAGGGGGAAGCAGGGAAGCATTGTGTTTTCCCTTTGTGTGTTGCTCAGATCTGCCAGTATTTCTCCCCTTGGGGAAGATGTACTTGCTTTATAAAAGAAATCCAAGTTCTGTATGGTGATTACTCCTTATAAAAGTGACAGCCGGATACCTTCATTTTCTACTCTTGTACTCCTGTGTATTAGACTGGACTTGACATTAATGACTCCGTAAGAAATCTTCCTGTTCAAGCCGGCAATCACCTTAAAGCGGAGGTTCTCAACCTGTGGGTCGCGACCCCTTTGGAGGTCGAAGGACCCTTTCACAGGGGTCGCCTAAGACCATCGGAAAACACATATATAATTACATATTGTTTTTGTGATTAATCACTATGCTTTAATTATGTTCAATTTGTAACAATGAAAATACATCCTGCATATCAGATATTTACATTACAATTCATAACAGTAGCAAAATTACAGTTATGAAGTAGCAACGAAAATAATTTTATGGTTGGGGGTCACCCCAACATGAGGAACTGTATTAAAGGGTCGTGGCATTAGGAAGGTTGAGAACCACTGCCTTAAAGCCTACTGTGTTCCCATTAAAATCAGGAAATTCTTACTAGCTGAATTGACATGAGAAGCATTTGGATTTTTTCTGATAGTCCCATACAGTAACTCTGCAGAGGAGTTGAGTCATCATTGATGATAATCATGGAATTAAGCTATATTAAATGAAAGTGCAAAAGATATGCTTTCTATTCTTTTTAAAAAAAATATATTTTATTGATTTTTTACAGAGAGAAAGGGAGAGGGATAGAGAGTTAGAAACATCGATGAGAGAGAAACATCGATCAGCTGCCTCCTGCACACCTCCTACTGGGGATGTGCCCGCAACCAAGGTACATGCCCTTGACTGGAATCGAACCTGGGACCCTTCAGTCCGCAGGCGGATGCTCTATCCTCTGAGCCAAACCAGTTAGGGCTATGCTTTCTATTCTTACTAACAGTAATAAAAAGAACCTAGGTGTTCTTCCTTCCTTTGCTGGAAAAGCAATGAAAATTCTTTTTTTTAATGTATTTTTATTGATTTCAGAGAGGGAGAGAGAAACATCAACAATGAGAGAGAACATTGATCGGCTGCCTCCTGCACATCCCCTACTGTGGATCAAGCCTGTGCCCTTGACCGGAATCAAACCCAGGACCCTTCAGTCCACAGGCTGACGCTCTATCCACTGAGCCAAACAAGGTAGAGCCAATGAAAATTCTTTAGTTCTCTCAAATCAGAACTCTTGAAAGCACTTTGAACACTACATGAAATACAGTAAATAAATGTTTACCTTCTCTGCAAGTGCCTGCCATGTGACTGAAGAAAAGAAGCATTAAAAAAGTTAAGTGTAAACAGTTCTGATTTTATATACCTCACAACTTAATACATTCATAGGATGTAGAAAATTATATTCTTGACCTTTTCCCTGCCTCATGATGACTAAATGTACCCCCTTATTAAAAGTTGCCACTTTAAAAAAAATCTTTGTGATGTTTCTGTTTTCAACTACTTCATCAAATGTACTGTTTTGTTCATCTATCAAATGTGTACCAAGTTCTTACTTGCCTGACATCATGCAAGAGATCCAGAAAATTCTTATATTCTTGAAGTTTAGAGTATAATAAAAAAGAAAGACAAATATAATTGCAGTTAGGTGTCACAGAAAAGACATTCAGGGAAAACTAACTTAGCCTTTAAAGCCAAAGTAACACTTCTCAAAGGATGTGAAATTTCAAATGAGACCAAATGGTGACATAGTCTGGTGTGCCCCTTTAAGGATTTTCTGTTTTATCCATTAGTACTTGAGAAGCCAGGGAAGGTTTTAAAAGATTGGCATGATTAAATGTGCATATTAAAAAGTCCTCTGGCTGAAATAGGGAGAATAGTGTTATTGAAAGTGCTGGTTGAGTATCATCGAGAGAGAAATGCAGTGAGAAAGAAGCTTGTTTAAAGAATGTTCACTTACCCACTGTTTCTTTCACAAGGAAATCTACACTACAGTGTCAGCTGAACTACACAGTGTACTTCTTTGCTGGCACAACCAGCACTAGAATAGGAGAGGTGAGAGTTGATAGAGAAAAAACAGGACTGCCTTAAAATAAGGGAGAGTCCACCCAGAGGCCTAGACTAGAGTAGTACTGACAGTAAGGATGGAAAGTAGTGGACAGATTTGAGAAATATTTGAAGAGAAACTATTGTATTTGTTTTGGAAGATGAGAGATAGGGAAGAGTCTAGGACCAATAATATTGAATGTTTAAGAGATACACAGTGATACAGTAGCATGCATACTTCCTTTCCATGTTTGACTATTTGCTTATGAAATTAACATTTTCATGTGTAACCCAAAAATGTAGGTCATAAAATAACAAAGTAAAAATACATTTCTATTTTATAAACAAACAATATGAACTAACTCCTCTCCTAAGACATTGGTAGACTTCTTTATTCCCATATACAACTTATGTTGCCTGAACTAAACTATCTTCATTTTTCTTATCTCTTAGCCCACTCTGGACTAGGTCTCACTAATAATTTTCTGAAACTGCTCTTGCTAACATGAGTTGTCACTCCTGTATTCCTTTTTCTTGGCATATGATCATTTCCTCCTTGAAATACTCTCTACTTTTGAACTATTTGACACTACTTTTGTGGTTTTCACTTAACTTCTGTAGTCTATCTCTCCTACCAGCCCCTCTCTTTGTAAAAAAATTTCAACTGTTTCTGTGGTCTCAGTTAACATTTACATGTTGATGCTTCTCAAATTATCTCCAGTCCAAATCTCATTGAGTTCTGGACCTATAGGCCAAGTGTCTCAGTATTCCCCTGGCCTCTGCAGTTCCTCAGATTTATATCAAAACTGTACTAAAGAATTTGCCCTTCCCTCAAACTTACTCCTATTCCCACATGCCTTTTCCCAGTAAATGAGAACATCATCTACACAGAAATCGGAAGGTCATCCTTCCTTAACTTCCTACCATTCCCTTTTGACTCGATTACAACAGCCTCTTAACTGGTTCACTGCTTCCATTCATGTACTCCTAACTTCTGTAATCAGTGATGTGTTGCTAAATGTTTAACAACAGAATCTCCAAGGAAGGGGAAAGCCCTGATTCATAGTATTTGCCCTAATTCTGTAATATAAATACTCCCTACATTATCTGGTTTCAAACTACCAACCTGACATCACTAATCATAAAGTTGGGAAGGAATGTGCAGTACCACACTATTCTATATAGCCTTTATACCATATAGATATAACAGACATATATAGTTTTAAGAATAAGATAATGCCCCCAGCTGGTGTGGCTCAGTCGGTTGAGCATCATCCCATGCACTGGGAGGTCGCCGGTTCAATTCCTGGTGGGAGCACGGTTCAATTCCTGGTGGGAGCACGTGCCTCCGTTCCCAGTAGGGGACATGCAGGAGGTAGCCAATTGATGGTTCTCTCTCACTGATGTTCTCCCTCTCCCTCTCTCCTTCTGAAATCAGTAAAAACATATTTTTAAAAATCAGCTCTAAATCGTGACTTATAATGGTTTGCCAATGCCACTTTGGATAAAGTTCAAAATTACTCTTTAACTTAGAAAGTTCTCTTGCATCATTTCATGTCATTACTCTTCACTGTTCCCACCCTAATTCCTCTAGCTAATTCCTACTATCGTAAAGCCTCCTGACTAGATTATCTCTTCCTGCTTTATGGTTCCATTCAACCTTGTATTTAACCTTTTTTAGAACACCCATGACATTTGTAATTACTTTTATAATAACAAATAACATTTATCTAGTATTTACCATAAACTGTCTCATTTAACCACACTAGATACCATTAAAATGGTACCTTATAGGTGATAAAAACTAAAGACTAAAAAGGTTGCATAACTTGCCTAAAGTTACCTAGCTGTTATGTAAAGTAACCAGGATTGACACCCTGATTTGACTTGAGAGACAACAGTTCTCAGCCGTTCTTTTCTGTTGCATCAAGTTGTTCAATTCTCTGTCCTCCCCATTACAGTGTGCCCTTAGTAGAAGGTAGATACCATAAAAGTAGGTCAGTTTTATTTACCACTTGGGACAGTTCCTAGGGCAGTGCTTGGAATATATGGGCATTCAGCCATTTATTAAAGACCCAAGGCAAATAGCATTGCTTAAAATACTGAGTGATTTTTTCCAAACATCTAATGTTTCTGAAAGCCTACTTTTATTATGGTGTAGACAAACATATATCCATCTGTGGCCACCCTGTTATTTTTTAAATACTTAGAGGACGATTTATTATAAATTCAACTATGGGCTATCTCTACCCCCCTTTGAACATACTAAGAAAAATCCAAACAACACATGCGAAATATGATTATGGAAAAATTAAATATAAAATTGTTGATTAGCCCAGCCAGCATGACTCAGTGGTTGAGTGTCGACCTATGAAACAGGAGGTCACAATTCGATTCCCAGTCGGCACATGCCCAGGTCGCAGGCTCAACCCCAGTGTGAGGTGTTCAGAAAGCAATGATTCTCTCTCATCACTGATGTTTCTATCTTTCCCTCTCCCTTCCTCTCTGAAATCAATAAAATATATATATAAAAAATAAGTAAAATTGTTGATTATTATTCTATTTAAACACAGATAACTAAAGATTACTTAGTAATGCTAAGCTAGCCCCATTAGTTCACTTTTCATTGATTCACTCAGAAAAGCTCACTGAGTGCTTACTTAATATGATAAAGTAGTAAAGAACAGTTCTAACCAGGAAAAACATGATACAGTGGTGGAGATAGAAAAGCAAGCAATTAGAATACAGTGGTGTTAATTCTTTATCATATAGAAACATCTAACCTCATCTTCTGATCATGAAAAACTTCTTTAGGAAGATGAGATTCTTAAATTGAGTCTTAAAAGAAGGAAATAAAATTTGGTTAAGGTTCAGTTGGAGGTACTGATTGCATAATTAGGGAGCTCATTTTAAAAAAACTAAAGAAAAAAAGGGTTAAATATCTGAAAGACAGCCTTCATATTTCTGAAGTCTTATACAAATGATAATCCAATAATAGTACTTAGTTTATAAGTTCTGCATCTTTATTGAGGCCCCCAACAAGAAGAAATTCATAAGTTTAGTTTAGTGTTTATAAACTGAAGCTTGATTTTTTTTAGCTTAGGGCACAGGAAATATTTCCAAACCATTAAATATTGGAACAGATCTTTGAAATGAGAATACATTTTATTAAAAGGTGAGGGGTAAACAGATAAATTCATCAGGGGTTTCTAATTAAATAGAAAAAAACTTACATTTATGAAAACGTGAACTACAGAGTGACAAACAAATGCTAATAATATCTTCAGGTCGGGATATGTTTGGAGTTGAGGGGACAGGGACAAGAGACTGGAAGGTATTTACCAGTAAATCTGGGCTTTCATCTCTTTGTGCCCCTCACTGCTGGTCATTTAAGCAAACTGGATATCTGATAATAGCCAAAGCTGTTACCTAGTGAAGCTTCAGTTGGGGAGCCACATGATCTTCTAACATGAATGATTCTTTTTAAACACTACTCAGTTCATTAGGTAATCAAACTAAAGAAGAGTTGAACTCAAAGTTGTTACATGTGAATGTTGATTGTTATGTTTCCAATCAGTCAACACAGTTACCACTAATTTCGACAGTCCCTTATATTCTCTTCCTTAACTGGGTACACATTAGTATATTTTATATTTGAAATAAATATGAAAGGAAAAACATTCCTGCTGGGCTTGTCAGCAGCATTTTACTTTTTGTAATAATTATGATTTCTACTGTATTACGTAGTTTAAGAGTTCATTTTTTAAAAAATACAGGCTGTTTACGTGGAAGTAATACAGTGCATTCTTAATTTACATATTCTGTCTCATTTTAATTAAGCAAATTTTTGTTAAGTACTTATTCAAGGCAACTGTACTACGTATTAAAGAGATAAGCCCTAGCCAGCCTTGCTTAGTGAGGCCCCGGGGGCCCTGGGCACCAAAGGGTCTCTGGTTGGGTTCCCAGTCAAGGGCACATACCCGAGTTGCAGGTTTGATCCCTGGCCTTGGTCAGAGTGCATTCTGGAGGCAACCAATCAATGTGTCTCACATGGATGTTTCTCTCTCTCTCTTTCTCTCCCCCATTCTCTTTCCTCCCTCCCATTCTCTCTCAATGGGCCCAGCTGGTGTTGCTCAGTGGTTGAGCATCAATCCATGAACATGGATGTCAGAATTTGAATCCTGGTCAGGGCACATGCCCAGGTGTGGGCTCTATTCCCAGTAGGGGGGCGTGCAGGAGGCAAGCAATCGATGATTCTCATCATTGATGTTTCTAACTCTCTCTCCCTTTCCCTGTCTCCAAAGTCAATAAAAACACTTTAAAAATCAATGGAAAAAATACCCTTGGGTGAGGATTAACAAAATAAACAAACAAAAAAGATAGAGATAAAAAGATACAGTGATTCCTGTCCTCAAGAAACTTATAATCTACTTTTATTTCAAAACAAAAACAGTATGGTAAGTGTCATAATGAAGGAACACAGAGGAATACCAGAATCTATTTAGGCTTTCCTAGATAAAATTTAATCTAGATAATTTGATTTACCTTTTTTTAAAATATATTTTTATTGATTTCAGAGAGGAAGGGGAAGAGAGGGATAGAAACATCAATGATGAGAGGGAATCATTGATCAGCTGCCTCCTGCACACCCCCTACTGGGGATCGAGCCTGCAACCTGGGCATTAATTTGATTTATCTTGACCATGTACTAATATATCAGCAGCAGATCTGTGCAATGTAGTTACTCCTGCTTATACGGCTCTACATAAGCTTGATCTAGTTTAGTCATTTTTTTAAATTTTTTTTTACAGAGAGGAAAAGGGGGGCAGGGGTAGATTGATTTGTTGTTCCACTTGTTTATGCATTCATTGGTTGATTCTTGTGCCCTGACTGGAGATGGAACCAGCAACCTTGGTGTATTGGGACGATGCTCTAACCAACAGAGAACTACCCAGCCAGGGCCTAGATTACTGTAGTCTTGTTTATTTTTACTGCCCAGGTTAAGGACTGGAGTAGGAAGAAAGATCTCTTTTTAAAACCCTGAAAAATAAGACCACTCAAGTCCATTTTTATTAATTTTTTACAACTTATAAAAATTAGCATGAATTGGTTTCTGTGACAACGTCTGGATATTAGAAATGTAACATTTTGTATGTAAATTGAAGACACTTTAAAATATGTTTTTATTGGTTTTAGGGAGAGGGATATAGAGATGGAAACATCAGTGAGAGAGAAACATTAATCAACTGCCTCCTGCTCATCCCCTACTGGGGATCGAGCCCTCAACGTGGGCATGTGCCCTGATCGGGAATCAAACCGGGGACCTCTTAGTTCGTGGGTCAACACTCAACCACTGAGCCACACCGACTGGGCTGAAGACACTTTAAATTACCACTTAAAATTTGTTTTAACCATTTAGGTGCAACCAGAACTGTGATAGTTGGAATTTGAGGGTTTTTTTGTTTTTTGTTTTTCTAAGGTTTCCTTTGGATCCTAAAAGAAGAAAAGAATGGGTTCGCCTGGTTAGGCGCAAAAATTTTGTGCCAGGAAAACACACTTTTCTTTGTTCAAAGCACTTTGAAGCCTCCTGTTTTGACCTAACAGGACAAACTCGACGACTTAAAATGGATGCTGTTCCAACCATTTTTGATTTTTGTACCCATATAAAGTCTATGGTAGGTAATGACATATTCAAGCTAGATATAATATAGGCCTGATGGGAGTAGCATTAAGAATGCTAAAGAGGCGGGTGGGGTGAAGGGGACTGAATATATGGTAAAGGGAGAAGATTTGACTTTGGGTGGTGGGCACAGTGCAATATACAGATCTTGTAACATAGAATCCCACACCTGAAACCTATATGATCATATTAACCAATGTCACCCCAATAGATTTAATAATAATTTTTTAAAAGAGTGTTAGAGGAGATGATTCATGATAGAGATATATAGGATGTAGAATTAATACGACTTGATGACTAATTGAATGAAAGTAATAAAGGAAAAAGGTTCCTCAGGTTTCTGATTTGGGCAAAAATTTCTGCCCGCATTTTAAGTCCTTGAGTGGAAGCTATAACTGAACAATTAATAAGCACTAAATCTATTCAGGGGCTTGATACTTGGGAATATATTTTTATTAAGTAGGATCCAAGGTCTGAAATATTAATTGAGCAAATAATATTTACCTACAAAAGAGATCAAATCAGTATCACATAAATGTCTAAATACATTATTTGGCCTTAGACAATTACAAAAGATATTTAAAGTCTCCATAAAATCATAATAATTTGGAAGGACCTTGGAAATCCAGTGTCTATTTCCAAACCAATGTTAGTATCTCTCTGTAGAGGGAAAACAAAACGAAATAGGTGGCTGGAGTTAATTCAACCACTTGAGAAACTTGAATCTATGATTACATGAGATGGGTTGGTGATGTTTGCTATCTTTTAAAATCAGTTTTTAAAAGAGCAATTTAAATACTGTTATTTAAACTGGACAAAATTTATTTGTGATATTGCATAACTTATGTACAACCCTCTAATATTATTTGGCACAGAAACTCAAGTCACGGAATCTTCTGAAGAAAAGTAACAGTTGTACTCCAACCGGACCTTCTAATTTAAAATCAAACATTAATAGTCAACAAGTGCTACTTGAACACAGTTATGCCTTTAGGAATCCTATGGAGGCAAAAAAGAGGATAATTAAACTGAAAAAAGAAATAGCAAGTTTAAGAAGGAAAATGAAAACTTGCCTACAAAAAGAACGCAGAGCAACTCGAAGATGGATCAAAGCCACTTGCTTGGTGAAGAATCTAGAAGCAAATAACATATTACCTAAAGGCACATCTGAACACATTTTACCAACTGCCTTAAGCAGTCTTCCTTTGGAGGATTTCAAGATTCTTGAACAAGACCAACAAGATAAAACATTACCAATTCTCTAAATATAAACCAGATCAAGAGTGCTTTTATTTAAGATTAGCCTGCACACAAAAAGAAAAGAAAAAAGATTAGCTTGCATCGATCTTGATGCCCATCATTTATTCTATTCAAAGGTAAAGATATTTAAGGAAATAATGCCAAAATTGGGTATTTAATAAAGTTTTACTTGAAGTAACGTTCTTACTGTATAACTTATGAAGACTTGATTACAAAAATAGAAATCTTCTCCCTTTACCATATATTCAGTCCCAAATATGAAACTTATTTGAAAAAGCATGGAAGTGCCTTACATGAGAATTGCATACATTAAAAATTTGCTAGGAAGTTTTGCAAGATGTGTTTTTGCCTTTTTAAACAACTTTTGAAGAATAGTCTATAACAAGTAATGTGTTTAATTTATATTAGAAAAAAATGTTTTTGTGTACCAAAGTTGAGACATTACATTCTAAGTAAGGTAAGTAGGAGTTAACCAATATTAAATATGACTTTAAAACTGCTGGGGTTTGTATTAAATTATTACTGACACTGTGATTTGGAAACTTTACAGAAAAAAAGCCTGAGTTGCAGGGCAAGTTCTTTTATTTAAACTTTCTATATCTTTTTAACAGTAAAAGTGAGCTAATCATAATCTCCCTCATAAGAATATTATCTTTTAGAATGGATTGTAAAATATTTTGAAAATATTTTAAATATGAAGTACCCTTGAGTCATCCAAGCTAGTAAGGACTCAAGTACCTCAGACTAGTAAAAACTGGTAGCTGGTTATATTAACCTTCTAAGAAAATATGTTGTGAAATAATGCAGAGATCAGGATCTAACTTTTACCTTTAACAAAAAGATAACTGTATACTACTCTTTTACTAAAAAAAAATTTTTTTTAATTTCAAAATTGATGCATTAGTAAGCAAATATGCTACCAGTTCCGTTAGAAAACTCCCTCTGCCTTCATGTATGTTGATACCAAAACGTTTAAGCTTTCCCTACCCCAAAAAACCTACAGTAGAATTTAATCATAAAACAGTACTTACTATATTATATCTTTACAACTTATAACTTAAAATGGAATCCGTTTTTCTTACACATCAGCTTGCTTTTTATTTCCTTTCTTAGTAAGAGTAGAATAGAACAATCGTACTGCATAAGGGAAATAAAATGTACTTCTCTACAAAAACACGTGTCTGTGAATAAAGCTATGCAAGTGCTAATTATTTTACAAAATAGAATATCAGAACTATTCTTATTGTCGCCACTTGAACAATTAAAGAGTTTGCCTTACTTCACCAGATAAATGTTTAATAAGAACACTTTCCTTCAAATAGTTTTGATCAAATCCAGCAAAAATTTACTAATGTATCATGATGTATCATGAAGTTATTTAATCCTGATTCAAGCTTTCTGACACCACCATATAAAAGTAACATACACCTAATCGTAAATTGCTATAAATCTTTCCTATAAAGTAAATGCTACTTGATGATTTAAAAAAAAAAAAATACTTCTCCCCGCCGCCCCCCCCCCCCAACTGTTTAGATTGCTGGGTTGTTGTTCTTTTTATTTTATTGATGGGTGTGAGAGAGAGAGCCATCGATTTGTTGTTTCACTTATTTATGCATTCATTGGTTGATTCTTATATGTGCCCTGACCAGGGATTGAACCCGCAACCTTGGTGTATCGGGACGACACTCGAACCAACTGAGCTACCCGGCCAGAGCTTAGACTGCTGTTTTGCTTGGATCCTAGCAACAGTCTTTTTATATTATTGACACCCTCTTTTAATAAGGAATGCCTCCCAAGCAACTAGATTTCACAAAGGCAAGGGTAGGAAAGTCTGTTTTAATTGTAAGGCACTTACAACAAATATTTATGAAAATCCTTTTGTGTATACAGGGTGGGGCAAAAGTAGGTTCACAGTTGTGAGTACATGAAGCAGAGTTTGTTCTTATTTATTAATTATTGTATTATTTTCCATATGAACAACTATAAACCTACTTTTGCTCCACCCTGTATTGTAAACCTTGTTAGTCATTTTATCATAAATATTAGATTTAGCTCCATGTTGTTGTTTTTTCTAATATGGCTTCAAATTATCTTTTTACCAATACCTAGTCAATAATCATCAGCAAACACTTATTGACCATATCTACTTTATACCTCAAAGTAAGTTAGATAAATAATCATTTAAACATAAACTATGCTTTCCAAATACAGATTCTCATATAGTTCACCACCTCTCCCCAATACAAACACTTACGTAGACTGATTCCCATTTACAATAATAACTTGCTATCTTAACATTTTAAAAATCACAAAAATAGACCATTATGAAATACAACAACCTTTCAGCAATCTCCATTATTATTTGAGACCACTAAATAAACTACCACTGAGTAATTTTAAAGTGAAAAATTTTTGGTGTTTTCCCTATGTAATTTTCATGTTACTGTCCTGATAACATGTTCCAAACTCTCTGCATCAGATTCTTTCATTAACACACATCTGTCTACCTTAAAAATAGCATTATTCATAGAATAAAATCTAAAAAGAAACTTAAAATTCTGTTTTTAGTTTATTGATAAACTTATCGCTTTGACCATATACTATCAACTAATCAGAATTATACTAGCTCTTTTTCCTCTGCTGGACACAACACATATCCTCTTTTCATTCATTCTATGTATACTTAGGCACTAACCTCTACAAAGAACCAGCCAAGCCTGGCAGGTATGGCTCAGAAGTTGAACCTCAGTCTATGAACCAGGAGGTCATGGTTCGATTTCCGGTCAAGGCACATGCCCGGGTTGTGGTTTTGATCCCCACTGTGGGGCGTACATGAGGCATCTGATCAATTATTCTCTCTCATCATTGATGTTTCTACCTCTCCCTCTTCCTTCCTCTCTGAAATCAATAAAAATAAAAATATATTTTAAAAAAAGAACCAGCCAAAGGCTATAGTAACTTGATATAAAGATGAATCTGCCGAAACCGGTTTGGCTCAGTGGATAGAGCATCGGCCTGCGGACTGAAAAGTCCCAGGTTCGATTCCAGTCAAGGGCATGTACCTGGGTTGCGGGCACATCCCCAGTAGGAGATGTGCAGGAGGCAGCTGATCGATGTTTCTCTCTCATCGATGTTTCTAACTCTCTATCTCTCTCCCTTCCTAGATGAATCTAGCCTGCCCAGTGTGGCTCAGCTGGCTGAGTGTCATTCCTTGCACCAAGAAGTCACTAATTTGATTCCCAGTCAGGGCACATGCCCAGTTTGCAGGCTTGACCCCCAGTGGTGGTGTGCAAGAATCAGTCAATCAATCTCATCGATGTGTCTATCTCTCCCTCTCCTCCCTCTAAAAACAAATCAATAAAAACATTTTAAAAATAAGTAAAATGCTTTAAAAAAAATTAGATGAATCTGACTCAATTTTTTATCTTTAAGTTGCTCAGTCTCCTGAGAGAAAAAAAAATATTTATTATACAATATGATAAATGCTATAAAGGACATATGTGTGAAGTACTTTGGTAAATTGTGTTGAATTGGAATTTAATGGGAATATAAACTTCAGACCTTCTTATGAAACTAGAGGCCCGATGCACGAAATTCGTGCAAAGGGCTCGGCCGTTGCAGCCCTGGCTGCCTTGGACAGCCTGCGTAGCCCTGGCCGGCCCTCACCACCCCAGCTTCGTCCAGAAGGTCGACTGGCTGTTTGGTCTAATTAGCATATTAGTTCTTTATTATGTAGGATACTTTTCTTTTGAAACAGAGATTTCTTATGACTTAACCAAAGGAAGTAAAAGGACACTAATGTTGACCTGAATTACATAGTGTTTTTTTTAATGAGTTGTAAGATATTTTTCCCTTTAAAATGAACACTGAACAAATTTGTTGTTAATGGTATCTTTGTTAACAGGAAATATAACTAAATAAAATACTACATCAAAGCCAAGGAGTTTATTTGATGCTTTTACAAAATAACAAACCCTACTAACTCAGATCTTTAAAAATATTTTAGCTCAGAGTCTTAAAGTTAACAAAGCACTATGGCACCCATTGGTTCTCTTGGTTGTTCTTTACAAATATTCTGTATGATAGGTAGTATCACCTCCAATTTACAGCTGAAGAAATCTGTGTTGATGTAACTTATTTATTCATTCAGACATTTACAGTGTGCCAACTGGCACAAGGGATAGAATGTCAGTAATGTAGGAGGTTCTAGATTGAACATTGGTCTTCAGCCTTCAAGTCTTCCATTCACCCACCACATTATAACCCTCTGTTAAATATGTAAATCATGTTATTAGAAGAAAAAGTCATGTCCAAAAAAACTAATATAAAATATTATT